TTTGAAGTTTCTTCAGCCGGTATGGTGCACATAGCCATCGGAAGAGTTCCGGCGCCGCGTGCGCGTAGGATAGCTCATTGAGAAAAAAACAGCTGAAAAAACATAGTTCGACAAATTGGCTGCAGACTATCCCCGTATTCACCTGTTAAATGTTGAAGCATTGTTGAAACTTAATGAAGGAAGTGACAGCAAAAACACGAAGAAACAGATCAGGTACGGACCTTCTTTCAGGATTTTTGTAAGGAAATAAAAGCCGATTTTGATGATGATCTTGTGGATAACGAAGCCAGTTAGACCTCCTTCTCTCGCAGAGCTACGCTGGAGCTCGGAATCGAAACGGTGAATACTTACAGCAAGAAAACAATACAGGCCTTGTAATAGTTTTTTAAATAGTGAGATGCTCATGAGGGATATAAAACAGATAAACAATGCATTTCTTTGCTCTAGCAACTATGAGCTGTCAGAAGCATAATTATTAACTTTTCCTCGAGGTAATTTTGATATAAATTCACCCTCGGGAAAGTAACGGGGGGGGGGGGGGGGGGGGGGGTCTCGAAATTTCAAAATTTGACATTTTTCTTCGTTGGGGGGGGGGGGGGGGGTAAGGTCACCTTTTTTAGGTTAACCGTGGGTATAATTTTTTTTTTTTTTTTTTTTTTTTTTAATAATTAAAAAAAAAAAAAAAAAAAAAAGGGGGGGGGGGGGTTTGGTTTTTTTTTAGGGGGGTTTACACACATAAAAATACCAAAGGGGGGGGGGGGTTTGAACCCCCAAACCCCCCCCCCCCCCTGCGTACGCCCCTGTATACAATCATATACTTAAGTATAAAATTATTTAACAAAAACACAACAAACAATGATTCTCTGTACAAGACGAAAGTATTTCAAATAATTTCAACCTTAAGCCCTTCTTTTCAAGTAATTATTTTATTTGACGTTGAATACGGGTACAAACAAATGCGCATAATTATACCCCCGTGACTTAGCTCGGGGGTTGAACACGCGAGCCGTGCTCAACCCGGCAATTTTATGTCATATAAACGGGAGCTTAGTGATCCGCGAGCCGTGTAAAACCCGCCATTTTGCATCCGCCAGAATGGCGGTTTTAAACCGCGAGCTCAGTGTGCTCAACACAGTAATTTATGTCATCTAACGAGATCACTGATGTATAGGTTAATGACCTACGCACATTGGAGTGGCAAATTCCGCTGATTGTGACGTCATTGTGACCCTCGGGCCATGTTAAACTGGCCCTTTTTTGTCCGTATAAACGCGGTCACGGTTGCCCTCTTCTTATTCAACACTGCTTGATGATTCAACCACCGAGCCGGGTCACTGTGTAAACACGGTAAAAAGGTGAGGGTGCGCGTGTTTGCGTGTGTATGTGTGTGTGTAATGAAAACAATTATTCTAATATATATGATATACATATCATGAAAAGATGTTCATTGTTCCAGCCCAATGGAAGCGATCATTGAATGGTAATCTCAGGATAGTCACATGTTCAGTATCATGATAAAGTCATGACATACCGAGCTTTCATATATTTCGTCTCTTTTCCTCTGTTTCGACCTATTACATCGATTTTAGTTTTGACATTATCCGCAGCTGAAATATCTATTCTATACTTTACCATACAACATGTAAAAGTCCGTAAATTCCGTGTCAAGCAATTGTTTTAATTGGTGTGGGTCCGCCACTGATGCATTATGTTTATATTTCGAAGCATAATGTGAATGAAACCGTGGGGTATTGAAAAACAAAAGAAAACTTTAAATTGGTTGTAAAGTAATAGCTAGACCACCTTTTTCCACAAATGTCAATAGCTTATTATACCTTTTCAATAGTAAATTTGTGTGTCTAACCTATCACATGGGTCAGATGATTGCATTGCAATCAACCTAGAAGCTCAAATACTAAGTTTTAGATGCTTACATTTGTTTTTATGATGTGCAATTTACAAATATGTAGTATTTATAAATTTGGTGTTTTCTTGATGACTGTGTCGCCGATTATCAAACATGGTATCGGCAATGTTGGTCACATCCACAAACATAATTTAAAAAAAAACGAGCAGGTTATGATAGCTAAGATTACTAGATGAAATATTTATATCATTTTATATGACTCATATTTTGCTTTTTAATATTTTGTGTCAATCGTTACATTTCTTTTTTGTGGTTCACAGAAGCTGATGTCAATTTTTTTACGATTCAATTTTGATGAAAAAAGCCATTTCTTTTTGGTAGAGTAATATCCTCATATCCCTGTATCTTTCAGAGTTTTGCTATTCTTGACATGCTTGATGAGCTCTTGACATTTCCTGTACGACTATAATTGAACATGAGTCCCACGACATGCCGGCCTTGATTGGACGTTTTTAATGCATCTTCAAGACGTTCATCCTGTCACTGATCGGTCGTCTACACTGAGTCTTCAAGATGACAAAGACGTTCATTCTGTGACTGATCGGACGTCAATTAGGTCAAACAAAATGTACATGGGCATCAATATTAACTTGACAATATGTTGGTCTCATAGGCTGTCAGCTACATGACCTCTCGGTCTCTTTGGTCATATTGGGGTCATCCCAGTAGACAGACAGCCCATAAGACCAACAAAGAATGTCAGTCTTGTCGTGCGTCAGTCTGGTGAACCCTCGAAACGTTGTCAGAAGGTCCACGAGACTTACATTGTCGGTCTAATGGTTTGTCAGTTAAGTGAGCCCTCAAAAAAGATGTCAAAAGGCCTGTGAGACTGACATTGTTGGTCTTGTGGGCTGTCATCCCTGAGACCAATTATACTCTAGGATCACGTAATTGTTCACATTAGTAGATATAGTTAGAAAATTTGGTTTCACTATTCTAAAGAAATAAGTTCACGTTAACTATGATTAATGACACCTCAATCCAAAATTTATTCAGAACATTAAAAGGAAAATGATTTGACAATACATTATTACGTAACAAATCGATGTATATTTGAGATTATGTACATCCATTGCAAAGAACACAATGTGAAAGCTCTAGTAATTTCAGCATTATGACATATTATTAAATAGTGTACAACCTGAAAATGAAATACACTCTTCCCTATAGTTAAATCTTCATCAAATTATTAAGAAAATAGCTCTGCATCAACAACATCAAAACATCATACTTTTTTGTACAGATAAGCAGCTTTTTAACAGAGAACAAAGTCAAAGTTGAGACAAAACAATCAAGGTGATAGAGCATACCATAGAAATGTTAGGAAATTACATAACAATTTTTACACTGCAGTCATGTGAGTCTTTTGTTAACACTAAACATGGTGCAATCTTCTTAAGGTGCATGCAAATAGAATCCGTAACTATACAATACGAGACTACAACTTTCTAGTATATGGTATAGTAAGTTAGTTTGTAGGCATATTTCATATTTCTCTTCTTAGAGGGACCAATGAACTAAATTCACGACCAGTTGGTATTCCGCTAACCTCGCAGGCTTGGACAAATAATTGCTCTTTTTTTTTGTACAGTGCTGTAATAGTTAAAAAGTATAATTATTCTTACTCGCGTTGAATGGAGAAAACAAATGGAAAATATGTTTGTTTCTTTTTGTCAATGTCTTCCTTTATGTATCAATAACGATTACAGATGTAAAGTGCTTAAAACAGTTTTGAGTACCATAGCCCTGAACACGGCCAGCTCATAATGTGTGCAAAATCTCACCTTTGCCCCCCCCCCCCCCCCAAAAAAAAAAAAAAAAAAAAAACACGATAAGTTCATGTAGGGCAATATGAGTAGACTATCACAATATTTGTGTTCATCTTATCAGGTTTCTCATTTAAATATTATGTATGGAGCTTCCTCCCCATTCCAAGACTACAAAATACATTTCCATTCCCACCTTTTAAACAGTTTCTTCAGGCAATGAATACAATTCATTCATAAGTGTTCTACCTGTGTATTGGTTGATAAAACGAATATTTTTTTTGCTTGTGAGTAGTTTTTCATACCTTTCAGGTCTACATCAACATACTGGCAATCATCAGTTTATTGATACATACACTACATTTTGATTAGAGAAAACACATCATGGAAACAAGCTTTAGAAGCCTGATACCCAGGTCATTTGTGTCATTCAAATGTAATGTAAATGTAAATGTAATTAGAATATTAAACAGTGTTCTATCAGATTTATTAAAACTCTCTTAAAAAATAAATGTCATATTGTTTTATCCTATTCTCTATTTATCAAATAATTTCCACTCGTCTATATTACATTTGGTAAGGTCACAAAATCTACAGCAAAGTTGAAAACTTCAAGAAACTATTTATCAGTTTTAATGTCTTTTTCTGCATTTTAAGGGTTTTGTTCGCTTGACAATCTTTATGTTTCATCTTTTTGACAGATTTAACTTGTCCAATTAAATCATCAAATGTTATTTTTCCTGAAAAATGCTAATCTCGCTATGTGTTTTCAGGAATAACTTCATGCAGAAAATTCAGGACGGATTTTAAGACATTTTGAATGTAAAAAGTACATTAAAGCCATTCTAAACTTTTCTATTAATAAATATGTACAATATTATAGAAGAAAAATTACCAGAGCTAAAATTGAGAAAACTTCAATTATTTTCAATTGAATGTTTTATTCAATCAATAGTTATTTGTAAAACACAAGTCTGTTACTTACTTTTGCAAACACTGATGGTTTAGAATTAAAATTTGACTGTGAATTGAATAGGCAAATTTGTGCCTGTTATAATAAATGTTAAAATAGAAACAGCTTTTGAAATTTGAATTTATTTAGGTTCTATAAGTGATGAGCATGATGACCACTGAGAAAAGAGATGTCAGCCATGTCACACAGCTACAAGTGAGACCCTCAGAGCTGGATTTGTTGTCGTTGCAATTTGACTCAGTACAACAGGATGTGCAACTGGTAACGTTATTAGCCATAGTGCAGTAAGGTCCACCACCTTTATGCAAGTTTTCACATGGCTCATCTGTGCATTCACGCGACACAACCGTGTGTGATGAGTTCTCATAATGATCAGTCTGCAAGAAATGAAGAGAGTTTTTATTATGACTATGTAACTTGATCTTTCATATTCAGTTCTGTAGAATTTTCATTTCAACATTTGATTTCTTGAAAATATGAATCGCACGGCTCTTTCCTTTATCTAGTTAACTAATGTTTTTGTCCATTGGTTTTTATAGACATCCCACTAAAAAAATTGTTCTCTTGCTTTGTAATGTATTTCATTATTTTTTTTCTTTGATAAGAAAAATTAAAGCAAAAGAGAGAAGAAAAAATTAAAACCAAAAAAAATGGACAAAACTATCATTTACTCCGAGTATATGAGGACAAAATAAATAAACAGATGAGACACAACATAATCTTAGGTGAAAATTAATGTTTACTTTGTATAAATTTATGTCTTCTGTTTCACAACATCAATTTAGAGATATATCCTCATTGTATTTTCTGTTATATTACCAAACTATAAACACATGCCAGATCAACCCTGTGAAGAAAAATATATATTTCAAAGTATTTGAATACCCAACAACGCTGTTCTTCATAGCATGTAACACTTGATACTCCAGAACCGCTTGCAAGGTCATCAGCAGTAGAGCAAACATCCGATATGGAGTTAGTCGAACAAGAATAACATTGAAGAGTCTGCAAGGAAAATTTAAATGCACATAGTATAAGTTTCAATTGTATTGAAAGAATGGATTATCTAATTATCTTATATTAGGATTAGTGGTCAGCATTTATCGCTAAAAATGCACAAATACTATCCCTCCCATGTTCCACATCAAAGGTGAACCCAAACCACATTAATATGGGATTGTGTTTATAGTGACAAAAAGATGTAAACAGAAAAATTGTACAATATTTTCTAAGCAATGAATTTCTGTTTTTCTTCAGAACAAAATGCTTTCGTTCAGAATATCAATCAAATTTATTCTGTAGGCAACAAGTCATTGCGTTAAGCACGGAGGAGAAAGTTCTTTCATAACAAATCTCTTTCATAGACCTTCCTAACAAAGAAGTATACATTTTTAGATCATTATATAGTAAACACAAATACATAGCCACACATAACATGTACAATTATTGAGAAAGCCTCTCCCCATCAAGCTTTAAAGGTGAAATTCAAAGAAGATCACAAATATGTCAACTAATGTATCACTAGAAACTGGTAAGCTAACAGATGGCCATCGGACAAGTTTTAGGTCGACTACATATCGGGTGATTTATACAAATACAAATACAACCACCTCCATAGCAGCTGGGATATATGTCGCCCAAGCAGACGACACACATAGAGAATGAACATATTGTGGCGTAACCGGGCTCTGCCGGGGTAGCGTTCTGCCTTGCAGTCTCTCAAAACCCGGTTCACGCTCTCGACAATCAATTATATCTCTCTGTGGGCTCTCACAAAAGTATATCGTGTAAGAATTAAGGTGGACAGCTCTCATTTTACTCACTCCCGCAATCACTGAATGTCTGACAGGACTAAAGAAACAACACTTGCACAGTATCTGCAGTTCAAGTAACTTTACTCGTTCCTGGTAACGGACCTGTCGCAACGACAGCCCGACGCTGACTCACAGATCACAACTATATAGAACCTGCCCCAACGGCAGCTAAGCGCTGACTCACTAACATCTCTCGATGTCCACATATATATTTCACAATTAACTATAATGCCCTCTATGTCTCACTAAATTACTGGGCTAGTTATGCTACAATATTATTAATTGCAAAGCTATTACTTCTCTAATTATAATGAGTTTAGTGTATAAAAATGCAATAGCATGTCGAACCATTCAAAAGGGTATATGACCCGATTCTGATAACTAAAATCTTTTGCTTGTAAATACACAGGATAAGGGTTAATTAACAATCAAAGAAACCAGACTTTCAAGTTTAAAAGCCCCGGAATGATATTAAGGACGGCATTTGTTCCCTCTTGAAACGCCGAACATACCCCGGTGTGTGCAGCTGAATATACAATGGCGCCTTGTTTTGTTTACAAGCGACAGATTCCTTTATTTTTGTATCGCTGCATTTGTCATCAAAATAAAACCATGTGCGGGGTTTAGAGTGAGGCAATAGATTTTACATTTAGCCTGACGGTAGTGAAGTAAGAGAAAGAACTCAAGAGAAGATGAAAACACAGGCACTGGAAATGTGTGAGATGTCTCGATCATGGGACATCGTCTGCTTGTGCAAATCATGTCCATACTGTGATCTCACACATCTCAGCAGCGTTCGGAGAGCCCTTCAGGTGCTATGCCGGGGCTGTATTTAAGCGTTTTGTAATTTATAATAATCATTGCTTCGAATGTTTCCAAGCATTGAATTTTGATAACCTTGTCGAATCAAAGTTTCAACTTTGCAATAATGAAATAAAGTTAGTTTTTAAAATCAATGAATATCTAAGATTTCATTTCACTTACCCCTTGCATTCTTGTGGCTGGGGTAGTCGCTGTAGTGATGGAAGTTTGATAAGGTATCATTAATATGATGTAAAGACATGAAATGTTAGCAATACATAACTATGTTTCCATACCTTGCTAGGTCATTCAGATTCAAGATTCAAGGAGGTGGAGATGGTTAACGTTTCCAATACCAGAGTCTTAGAGGGTCAGTGAAATGTCAAAGTTGTGAGTGGATATTTTATAAAAAATATGTTAAAATGAGGATCGAGTAGTTCCTAACCCCAAACTTGTTCTTTAAAACTATGAATCAAAAGATCAAATTAAGTAAGCAAACTAAATCTATCCGATGAATTCGTCCGATTTTTTTCAAAATTCATGGACTTAGAAGAATTAAAAGTCTCGAAAACAACTTTCGTTGTCTGACAATCCTTGAAGAGCAAAAAAAGCGAGATATAGGCGCCGCTTTTCCGGTGACGGCGGCGACGGCAACGGCGACGGCGTCAACATCAAAAACTTAACCCAAGATTGTATCTGTAAACTCCCTTATTCAGAACCTTTATGATAGCCGTCTTGAAATTTGTTTTTAAACAAGTTAATCCATCCCTTAACATTTTCACTGCCCCTATTGGTTTATATTGTTGGGAAGCAATTCTCTGTCACACATACATACACACTCTCTCCTAAGGACAATTTTATAGAATAAAGGTTTGTCGTGGGAACGATTTCTATCTGTTCGCTTAAGGTTCAGGACTCCAAAACTCCAAATAATGGCCCAGAGGGCCCCTGTCGTGTTGCAGGGGCAGAGGCCTAAGTTGTCAGTTGTGCATGCAGGGGAAGGAGCCATATCGGACGCTAGAACCTTCAAGATTGCCCTCCCGACGAGTAGAAAATTGTTATTTTCTTCTTAAAATTCAAACAGCCCCCCATTTACTTCATTAGAAATTGTCTCTCTTTCTCTTTCATAGAACTGCATTTAATTTTTTGTTTTACTGTTCTACTTTCATCTGAAGTCTTCGAAGGCACACGTCGAACCTATTGCAACTCATCTGCAATGTAATCTGTATGTTTAGAGTTAAGTTTCATGTTCTTCTTTTTATTTTCCGTCTCGTTCCCTCCCAATTTCCTTTCTCCCTCCTTTTTTCTTCTTTGTCTTAGCTTTGTTTCTTTTTACCCTTTCCCCCCTTTTTCAGGCCCCCGCTAAAGAAGGCGGAGTATCGCGGTCGATACACCCTTTCCCGATCCACCCTAGCTTTATACATTCATTGCACATATTTCAACAAATTGAGGTGGGTTGAGGTTTCCATCCCAGCTAGACAAACAACTACTTGAACATTTTGTTTCACTGAAAGGGTATATTCTAAACTAATTAGCAAGTACCATCAATTTTAAAAGTATCCTATGATGAGAATGAAAGCTCTATTTTGCACGTTTGTTGCAAAAAACAAAAATAAGTGTTCATTTTTTCAAAATTGTTCATAAAGTTATGGATGTAGATTGTTAATAAATTGTAGTTTGGAGTACGTTTTCAGCAACTTGTCTCATGAAAATCAAGGGGCCGGAATAATAGTGCCGATTTCATTGAACAGCGCTATCTTGTGTTATAAAAGAAAGAGTGAAAAATAATTTTGTGACGGAATGGACGATTTTAAGCGATAGGACCCGGGGTAGCCGAACAATTTGTCAACCTCCTCATTTATGTTCGACACTGTAGCTTGATTCACACTATGATACGAAGCATGAATAATGTCTTGATGAGAAAGGAGCATTTGCTTTTGGTAATAGGTGTTTGTATGTAATCTGCCTTGACTTGATAGCTTACCTGCACACGGAGACCCAGCATAACCAGCAGAGCACGCACAAGTATACATGTTCACTGCATCAATACAATCTTCATTAGCCATACACGGAGTGGAAGCACATTCGTCGATATCTGTGCAAATTGAGTTTCAATTATTATGTCTTGCCAAAGGACATTAGTGCCGCGGAGGGACTTTAACCGCGGACATGTACATGTGCTTCGGGGTTTAATGGACCTTTGTCTAGTACAGGTACTAGAACCTTATTGAAACAAAACATTCATGTTAATTTCTACGGGGATCAAAATTATGATACATCGGGTTTTAAAGATAATATGCCCTTTTTTGCAGCCAAAATCAAATTCTGTAGAACTTTGAAGAATTTTAGGAATATTTTATGAATGTCCTATCTGTGAAATTTAAAAGTTAGCAGAGTCCTAATTATAAAATTATGCAAAGAAACCCGTTTACTCGCTAGACTTCACTGTCCACACTATGGAGTGACTGACTGGCTTTTTTTTATACTGCTTTGGTAAACATACATAAAATGAGCTGTAACGGGTACATGAGCATTTGTCTACATCCATAACCCACTTCTTGTAATGGCCACAATTAAACTGATTGAATCTTTGCGCAGCATCAAACGTACGACCATTCGGTACAATGGTCTGAAAATCAGACTATTACTTACTGGCTCTATAGCTCTTAAGTCGATTCGACAACTAGTCGTTGTTTTCCCACTTCAAGACATTTTGAAGCCCCCTTTTTTTTAGGGAAGTTCTAAATTAGTATTTACTTTCAACTGCCGGTGGAATTTCACCTTTTCATTTTTTTTTTTACTGCAAACGGGACATAGTACCTTTAATACATGTACTACACAAAGCTCCATTAAATCCCGAAGCACATGTCATCCAATACGTTACCGACCCGTTACACAGGGTAGCGATTTCTTTTTTTCAATCCTTCATTTTTTTTCTCTCTATCGCTTTCTCTTTTTCCTCTCTTCTTCTCTTTGGGCTTAAATGAATTATCACTTTCTTTTCTCTTCTTTTCTTCCGTCAATCTCTCGATCTGGACCCAATCTCTTTATTAAGCCAGTGAGAATGATATATTTACATACCTCTGTCACACACAGATCCTGTAAATCCATCAGCACATGTACATGTATTGGTACCAGTTACACATGTACCTTGGTTCAGACACGGGTTGTCACTGTTATGGGACTATACCGATATCCCGATCACAAGTATCGATACCGCATGCTACATACTCGTGCTTAATAACATGATACTCTGAACGTATAATCTTGTCTGAAGTCTCGTTATTCTAAGTGAAACATGGTGTCAGAAGTCGGTTCTATGGAAAAAATTCCGTAGAAGAAGCTTGTGCTGACATTTGAAGTGCTACATGGGAGGAGGAAATTCACTTTGAAATGCTGAAAATGTGCCTCAAACTTGTGAGTACAGTACGTGTATTGCTGTGATTTCATTGAACTGTCCCAGCTATTGAAAATGGCGTCTTGTCAAATCCCGGTACCGCAGCCGATGTGCTGCAAGGGCAATTTGGAAGCAAATTGGAAAGCCTTTGGGGAGTCTTGGAGCGACTACCGCATAGCTACAGAGCTTGATAAGAAGCCAGATATCGTACAGGTGGCAACCCTTAGAACAGTAATGGGTCAGGATTGCAAGGACAGATTAGCAACATTGCCACTTAGTGATGAGGACAGAAAGAATCCACAGATAATCATCGAAAAGTTGGCAGAACATTTTGCTCCAGCCAGGAACGTGCTGTACGACAGGTTTGTGTTCCATAGTGCAAGTCAGCAGCAGAATGAGAGCGTTGATCAATATGTGGTGCGCCTGAGACAACTAGGCAAAGCGTGCAAGTTTGGTGCACTTGAAGAGGAGATGATACGAGACAGATTGGTTCTTGGGTGTAAAGATAAACAAGCCCAAGCTCGACTATTCAGGGAGCAAGATACAGTTTGTACCTTGAAGAAGGCAATTGCATCTCTGGAAGTGAGTGAGTCATCTCAACAGCAACTGAGGATTGTGAAAGGTGAGGAATCTGTCCACTTCACGCAGAGCCAGCATAAGAAAGGGAACGCTGGTGGAAGACAAATGCAGACCAATAGTTACATGGACAGGAAGAAATATGGAAAGAGTTTCTCTACACAGAAAGAGGAGATGAACGGCTGTAAATTCTGTGGTGGAAGCCATTCAAGAGGCCGTGATAACTGTCCAGCATATGGAAAAACATGTCGTAAATGCGGCAGGGCAAACCATTTCCAGACTGTCTGCAATGCCGGTACGCAAAGGGGTATAAAGTCCTCATATGTTCATCAGCTAGAAAGCAGTGATGATGAAGATGCACTAGCCCTGGAAGAGGTAGGATCATTGAATATCCATGATGGTGGAAAGAAACTGACGCTACCATTAGACATGGTATTAAATGGTAAACAGCAAGGACGAGTTGAGTGCCTGATTGATACTGGTTCAACCTGCAATGTGTTGTCTTACAGGCAGGTGTGTGAACTGGAGAATACAGGACAACCTATCATCGCCCCGAGCAAGTCCAGAATCAGACTGATAAATCGCAGCATCATCCCAGTGCTAGGAGAAAAAACGTACACTTGCAGGTATGGCAACAAGCAACATGTTGTGACGTTTAAGATAGTTGATGTGGAACACATGCCCCTCTTGTCTAGCAAGACATCCATTGATATGGGACTGATCACAGTGAATGTAGACCATGAAGTCAATATGGTGGAAGACAACACTATCATCGATGACTACGCAGATGTTTTGATGGTCTAGGATGCCTACCGGGTGAATACGATATGAAGGTCGACTCATCCATTACTTCAGTAAAAAACCTAGCCAGGAAGGTGGCGGTGCCTCTGAAAGGAGAACTGAAGCTGAAGCTCGACGAATTAGAGCAAAGAGGCATTTTGAGGAAGGTTTCGATACCTACAGACTGGGTCAGTAACATCGTCTTAGTCAGGAAACCAGGCAAACTCAGGATCTGTCTTGACCCGAGAGATCTTAACAGAGCTTTGAAGAGACCTCATTATCTTATGCCAACGATGGATGATATACTGCCGAAGCTGGCAGAAGCGAAGGTGTTCTCTGTGCTAGATGCGAAGGATGGATTCTGGCAGGTGAAGCTGACAGAAAGGAGCAGTTTGCTGACGACATTCGCAACACCATTTGGTCGTTATAGATGGACTAGGATGCCCTTCGGCATATGTACCGCACCCGAAGAGTTCCAAAGGCGGCAACACGAAATCATAGAAGGCTTGTTAGGTGTTGATGTTGTGGCAGATGACTTCTTGGTATACGGCAGTGGTGCGACACATGAAGAAGCCCTGGCAGACCACGATAGGAATCTCCAGAAGTTCTTGGCAAGGGCGAGAGAGAGCGGGCTGATACTAAACAAGAAGAAGCTCAAGCTGCGCCTCAAAGAAGTGCCATACATGGGACATCTACTGACTAGTGATGGTCTCAAACCAGATCCTAAGAAGGTGAAGGCTGTAGTGGAGCTGCCAGCTCCTACTGACAAGAAGGGAGTTCAACGCCTTCTTGGAAGTGTCACATACCTGTCCAGATTCATGCCTAGACTAGCAGATGTAGCCGAGCCTTTGAGAAGGCTGACTGACAAAGGTGTTCACTTCGAGTGGAGGGAGGACCATGAGGAAACCCTCAACCAGCTGCGAAAGCTTATGACGGAAGCTCCAATCTTGAAGTATTATGATCTGAAAGATGAGGTGACAATCCAGTGCGATGCATCAGAGAAGGGGCTTGGAGCGACACTACTCCAGAATGGACAGCCAGTCTACTACGCATCAAGGGCCCTGACGAAAACTGAACAAAACTATGCTCAAATAGAGAAAGAGTGCCTAGCCATTGTGTACTCTGCAGAGCGGTTCGATCAGTTCATCCAGGGAAGGAAGGTGACAATCATGACAGATCACAAGCCCTTGGTGCCGATATTCAGCAAGGCTTTGAACAGTGCCCCGAAACGTCTCCAGAGGATGCTTTTGAGACTGCAAAAGTATGACATTGAGCTAACATTCTGTCCAGGGAAGGATATGTTGATTGCAGACTGGTTGAGTAGAGCTTTCCTGCCTGACACAGAGAGTTGCGACAGGATCTATGCTGAAATTGAACAGATCAACCAGACAGATTATGTCAGGATACGTGATGCCACATCACTACAACTGCAGAAAGAGACATTGAGAGATCCAGCTATGCAAACTCTGACATCCATTGTGATGAATGGATGGCCTGAACAGAGAGATGAAGTGCCTGTGGTGGTGAGAGGATATTACCAGTTCAGGGACGAGATAACAGTACAGAATGGTGTTCTGTACAAGGGCATGAAAGTTATCGTACCAACCGCCATGAGAGCTCTGATGCTAAACAGGGTGCACAGCAGTCACCTAGGAGTTGATGCCTGTGTTCGACGAGCTAGAGATGTCCTGTTCTGGCCGGGTATGCAGTCGGAAGTGAAGGAAAAGGTGACCCAATGCAGCACCTGCAATGCTTTCCAGCCCAAACAACAGAAAGAGCCGATGATGTCGCACGACATTCCAAGCAGGCCTTGGAGCATTGTGTCGCAGGATCTCTTCACATTCCAGAACGAAGACTACCTCATTACTGTCGACCACTACAGTGATTACTGGGAAATAGACAAAATAACAGGTGACACGAGGGCTCCAGTAGTGGTGGCATGCACAAAAGGCCACTTCGCCAGATATGGACGTCCAGACAAAGTGATTACGGACAATGGGCCCCAATTTGTTGCCAAAGACTATGCTCAATTCGTTGCAGAGTGGGAAGTTGAGCATCTCACATCTTCGCCATTGTACGCACAAAGCAATGGTAAAGCCGAATCTGCAGTGAAGATTGCTAAGACACTCCTGAAGAAAGCGACAAAGCAAGGAGAGGATGTCCAGCTAGCAATACTGGATTGGAGAAACACACCGGATGATAATGGTGCCAGTCCAGCACAGAAAATGATGGCACGACGAACCAACACTCTACTGCCTACCCCTGAAGCGCTCCTCAAACCACATGTCGTAGATGGAGTATCCCAACACATCAGCCACAAGAAGCAGCAGGCCAAGAAATACTATGACCGATCAGCAGCTCCTCTTCCTGAGCTAGAGATTGGACAGCAAGTCCGCATCCAATCTAAGAGTCGTGGCCTGGAGTGCAGCCGAGGAGTCTGCAAGGAAAAAGTTGGTCCAAGGTCATACTTGGTGCAAACAGAAACTGGCCAGATGTTAAGAAGGAACCGAAGGTTCTTAAGAATGACTGAAGAACCGCTCGTACAAGAACCACTCGTACAAGAACCGCTCGTACAAGAGCCGCAGACAGCTGAGAAGGAGAGCCCATCAGCGCAAGAAAGCCCACAAGAAGCTACTGCATCGCAGCAAACGGGTGAGAACCAGCCTCAGCAACCATCTTACACTGAGACGCTGCAAAACCTGTTGAATCGCGTACTGGAGAAATATCCGCTAACAGCTCTCCAGAGAGTCAGCCGACGAGCCCTGGTCGCGTGACAACGCAACAGTCCAACTGGCCGACCAGATCTACTAGAACCAGGAAAAGCATCTTGATGCCAGCTAGATATGACCAGTTTGTTGGCAAATAAACCAAGCCACACAGCTGTGCACCGAAATAATGGACTTGTATAAAAAATAGCAAGTGTATATAGCTTTTTGTTGTTTGTTGATAGTTTAGCGTTATGATAATACTTCCACGTTCACGAGACTGAAAGCTACCTGGACTGTATTTTTTCTGCGACACAAGTTTGCTTTTCGCGATGAAAGATCAGATTTTGAAGGACTGAAGCACTTGGTAGGATCTGAAGGACAAATTTACACACAATGAACATTGAACTCAGTGACTCAACAAATGAACAAAGGACTCTTGTGTTCATATTTTTTTTATTTCATATGCTCATCATTTTTATTAAATGTATGGTATCACAGAATGTAATGTGATTGGGATACAAAAAAAAAAAAAATTGTTTACATTTTCTTATGAAAAAGCAAACAATCAAGAAAACAGAGGAAAGGGAGAGAAAAGAAATAGAAGCAAAATCATAATAATAGCCTCAAACAAAATGAGCTGTTATATTAATTATTATAAAAGAAAATAACATTCTTTTCTTTTTATAATTTATAAGGAAGGGAGATGTTATGGGACTATACCGATATCCCGATCACAAGTATCGATACCGCATGCTACATACTCGTGCTTAATAACATGATACTCTGAACGTATAATCTTGTCTGAAGTCTCGTTATTCTAAGTGAAACAGTCACCACCTGCACAGTCGACTACAAAGAAGAGAGAAATCATTCCAAACTAATCTTGCACATTTACTGAGAAGGAAAATAACAAGTGACTATTTGTGAGAACAGTCACGCTTGGTAAAAAATCTTATATTCAAAATAAATGATTGGAATTTGTATTGTTAATTTCATCAAACTCCAGAGGTGTATCCACGTGTATCCACTTCCGGTAAGGTTGTCGGAGTATTTCCTGTAAGGTAAGAAGGCGTACGCTGGTCAAATATCACAGTCGTACTGTGTAAGAGTTGTTGGGATAACCCCTGACAAGATAGCTTTATTCACATATCAGGTGAAGGAAAAGGATGAGTGCAGTCACAGGTCAGACAGTTTCAAGAATAGCTTACATTAATAAAGGTTCATTTAACCTAATATTATTATCTGTGTGAATTAATAAGATTCCAGTCTAAGGTGTTTCTCGATTCCCGCCTTGTGACAATATGCACTTGGTTTTCGTATGTGAGCAAAGATTATTCGAAGAAAAGAAAAAAATCACTTGGCAGTCTCACCTTTTTCAGGGTTTATTTCGTACCATTCTTTATGCAATACAATGTAGTTTTTAGTTTGGATATTTACCGTGCTATTATGTTCTTATTATTTCATTTCTTCAGTACTCACTTCTTGATTTTCTTCTATTTCCATAGTGCTTAGAGACTCAAATGTAATTTACGCTATATAAAAACTGAATATTAATCTATAAATATCTTACTTGTGTCAGCGCATGTAGCTCCATAATACCCCGAAGCACATGTACATACATTGTTGTCACAGGTACCTGTGTTCATACACGGGATGTCCGCAGAACAGACCACGACTGAAAGTAGAGAAAATATACTAAAATAAATAACGAATTTCACATTTATTGTTAAGGACCAAACTGCTCCAAAAGCGTGGAATTTAAGAATGGTGTACTTAAAATTGTTAATTTAGAAAGTAAGAATTACTTGTTTACCTTCTTAATGGAAATCTTGGGGGAGGGGGTGGGAGGGGGGGGGGGGGGGGGGGGGGGGTAAATTACAATAAAGACCATGCAATAGTTATTAAAGGTTAAAGTCACGATATATGTCATCAATGTAGGTTCTTTATTCATAGGATTATCGCATATTTTCTATCTCAAATACATATGATTTTGTTGTTGTTGCATATAATGGCTTGTAACAGGTGGGTGTTCTGAAGAGATAGGATATTCTTTTCATAACATGAACTAACTATCTCTTTAAAATAATGTTTAATGTGTTCTCTATTTTGTAATAGGAATATTAATGTTCAGTCGTCAGGTGAAACAAAACTATATTCTAGTCTGGATATTGTGAAGAAACACAGTGTTTTGGACAACATCAACACGGTGTTTGGAGACTTGATAACGAATACTTGGTATGTATTACAATATCATTGAACATCGAAACATAGTAAACAGTCACCTACTAATCTTGTTTCACTGAAAGGGTATCTATTCAAAACTAATTAGCAAGTACCATCAATTTTAAAAGTATCGTATAATAAGAATGAAAGCTTTGTTTTGCACGTTTGTTGCAATAAACGAAAATAAGTGTTCATTTTTCAAAATTGTTCATAAAGTTATGGATGTACATTGATTATAAATTGTAGTTTAGAGTACGTTTTCAGCGACTTGTCTCATACAAATCAAGGGGCCGGAATAATAGTGCTGATTTCATTGAATAGCGCCATATTGTATTATAAACGAAAGAGGGACAAATAATTTTGTGACTTAATGGACTATTTTTAGCGATAGGACCCGGGGTAGCCTAACAATTTGTCAACCTTCTCATTTATGTTCGACACTGTAGCTTGATTCGCACTTTTGTAATTTGGGAAGATAAACTGATTCATTAACTTTTTACGTCAGGCCGTCGCTGGGTCAACTAAAAAAAAAGGCCATTAAAATCAATTAACAGTGTGACTTTTCACTGTTGATCGAGTGGAGATGCAAACCGTGAGTTGAATTTGTCTCTGATACGAAGCATGAAAGCCTAGGTATCTATAATGTCTTGATGAGAAAGGAGCATTTGCTGTATGTAATAGGTGTTTGCATGTAATCTGCTTTGACCTGATAGCTTACCTGCACACGGAGTCCCAGCATAACCAGCAGAGCACGCACAAGTATACGTACATGTTCACTCCATCAGTACAATCTTCATTAGCCATACACGGAGTGGAAGCACATTCGTCGATATCTGCGCAAATTGAGTTTCAGTGATAATCATTGGAATAAAAGCGACTAGAAAACAATTTCACTTTTGACCACTTTATCTTTTTTTGTCGGATAGGAAAATTAATTTAAAACTGGCATTTTAAATAAGACAGTTAATGAATTGACAACCTCATTCGTAAAACTACAACAATACATATTTTAAACGAAGTAAATGAACTAAATATCTCTTTTAATGTTTAATGTGTTTTCTATTATTTTTGTAATGGGAATATTAATGTTCAGTCGTCAGGTGAAAAAAATAAAACTATATTCTAGTCTGGATATTGTGAAGAAACACAGTGTTTTGGACAACAACAACACGGTGTTTGAAGACTAGATAACAACACTTGGTATGGATTACAATGTCATTGAACATCGAAATATATTTACAGTCAAATACTTAAACATTTGTTTCACTGAAAGGTTTATATTCAAAACAAATTAGTAAGTAGCCGTCGCCGGTAATCAAATAAAAAAAGGCCGCAAAATAAATTAACATTGTGACTTTTCACTGTTGATCGAGTGGAGATGCAAACCGTGAGTTGAATTTGTCTCTGATACGAAGCATGAAAGCCTAGGTATCTATAATGTCTTGATGAGAAAGGAGCATTTGCTGTATGTAATAGGTGTTTGCATGTAATCTGCTTTGACCTGATAGCTTACCTGCACACGGAGTCCCAGCATAACCAGCAGAGCACGCACAAGTATACATGTTCACTCCATCAGTACAATCTTCATTAGCCATACACGGAGTGGAAGCACATTCGTCGATATCTGCGCAAATTGAGTTTCAGTGATAATCATTGGAATAAAAGCGACTAGAAAACAATTTCACTTTTGACCACTTTATCTTTTTTTGTCGGATAGGAAAATTAATTTAAAACTGGCATTTTAAATGAGACAGTTAATGAATTGACAACCTCATTCGTAAAACTACAACAATACATATTTTAAACGAAGTAAATGAACTAAATATCTCTTTTAATGTTTAATGTGTTTTCTATTATTTTTGTAATGGGAATATTAATGTTCAGTCGTCAGGTGAAAAAAATAAAACTATATTCTAGTCTGGATATTGTGAAGAAACACAGTGTTTTGGACAACAACAACACTGAATAGTTGAGGAAAGGGAAAAATGAAGTTTGGGAGTCCAGCCGTAAATGGAGATATTAAGCTGTGAAGCTTATTTATTCGATCTGTAAAGACAGATAAAATAACAAAGACAGATTTAGTATATCATTCATGTTACACAAGAATGCAATATATAATCCAAATTATCTGAACAAACCAAGTAACTGTATCTATAAAGATTCATTTAAACACATTTGCTTTTGTTCTATAAACTGTCAATCTTGACCTCGTCCTTTAACTAACAAAAATCCAGAGTAACCAATGGTTACAAAACCTTATGCATTTTCTAATATGCATTACTTTCAAATACTCATACTTTCAGAGTTTCTAAAACCGACCCGGCAGACTTCCCTTTAAACAGATCACTGCCAATTTGCATGAACCAAAATAACTGTAAACATCTTTATCTTGCATCCATACACAAGCTTGATAATTCTTATCTATCTTCATAGTTTAAATTCCTTCTAAAAACCTCAACAATAGATTGTCACTTTAAATGTGCTATATGACCTTCGACTGACTTTGACAGGCACCTAATTTGCATATTTATGCTCGCCTAAGAAAAACTGTCTTATAAAATGACTTCATACAATTTAACCCTGTTTGATGAATTAAACTTAAATATCTGACATGCATAAAACTTCCCAGTAATAATCTAGAGATTACACTTCAATACAAAATAAACTATCTGGCATAACTTGTAATTTACACCTGTAATTTACATCTGTAATCTACTCCTGTAATCCACACATGCACTACAGCAAGCCTTTCAAGTTACATTATTAACTCTTAAAATGATTAAACACTGTCTTTCAATTCTGACTCTAAATACATGCCAGAGGTGCAAATTTTAACCTTTCACCAAGTTAATAAATAGTGTCTTGCAACTTTTATGCAAGCTAAATCAAATTCCACAGACCAACTTTTGTCACCCAAACAAACTGCATAAAATCCAAAGTTCTATCATGCACAATTATAAACATCCTTTATCTTCAGGACTTCTATAAATATACATTGTTTACTTTATAAATGACATAAAACGATATTTGCCTATTACTGTAATTCTGTTTTGACAATTATTATTGAACTGGAAAAAACACAGGAATAAAAGTACGTCTTATGGGCGCGGCCATTTTAGGCGCAGCCATCTTGGAATTAATGCCACACGTGCATTATGCTAATGAGTTAAATACAGTTCTTTAGAATCCATTTTACAGTACAACTTGAATCTATCTTATTTTCCGTTTTATGAGTTCACATTCCAGTTTATATTAATCTAAACACTCACTTCTGTGGCGGGACAAAACTTCGTCGGAAATACTTGAATGGCAACTGACGGGTTAACTGGTAAATGAGTCAAACTGGACTACATTTCTGACTGTGCACTGCGTTGACTGAAGAACATGGCGACAGTGCCGAACTTAACCTATGGTAGCTTATAAGAGCAAAAAATGAGAAAATCTAAACCAAGCAAAAATCATCGCTCGGCGAAACATCCTCCCCGCCCAATGAGGGAACTTTCCTCATGAAAAACATTAACATTAAATTAACACTTAACGCTATATTACTGTTCGTAGCCTTCAACTGGGTATACTGAATACACTTCCACAACGCGAGCGATGGTCCATTTTCCACGTAACGCGTTGGCGTCAGCCATCAAAAACGATATCGTCGACACAAAAATTGCGACGATCAATGTTCCACTTCCATCTTGGCGTCAATAACGGGAGCACGTCTCTTCTCAAACGCTGCCAGAAGGCATCTGCAATCCCTTGGACGAGCTCTACTCGATGCCTTGGGTTCTTGGTTTCTCGGAATGGCTCTTGTGCAACATCACTGGATGCACGTCCTAACAGCATGTCATTAGGACTCAGGTAGTTCCCATCATCCGGATCAGTCGGGATTCTGCCAATCGGCGGTTGATTGTCTGGATTGGCCACCTCTATCAGGCATGTATACAGATCAAACGGTGTCAGGATTAGCTCTCCAATGGCTCTCTTGAGAGCAGACTTGCAACTCTTCACCAATGACTCGGCGCAGCCGTTGTGATGCGGGGCTATGAACGTCCATTTCGTTCCCTTTACAGTACAGAACTCCTTTAGCACACGTTGAGCACCTACAAAATGAGTACTGTTATCACTCCAGATCTGTGATTGCTTCCCTCTCAAAGCAAAGATTTGACGAAGTACTTGAACAAACTCCATCGCGGAACATTCAGTTGCAAACTCTAAATGCAGACATGTGAACAAAACTGGTGGTGTATGTGGGGCTAGTCTTTCTCTGGGTAACTCGGTCATTTCATGTGGTTCTGCCTTCTGGTCAAATGCTCCACACACTGCACATTTGAACTTTACAGTCTTTACTAGTCTTTGTCCCTTCAGAATCCGGTACCTCCTTCTGGCCTTTGCTGTACTGGTTGCAACTCTAGTATGACCACTACTGTTGTGGACATGTCGTGTGAACTTGTCGTGTTCGAAAGGAAGCAGGTCTGGGTGTTCCCTTCCAAACGACATCTCAGCTCTATCAAATCTGCCTTCTACTCGGGTGATGCCCGTACCGTCTGTGTGAGCACTAAGGGCTTTCAGTTCTCCCATATCGTTTCTGCCTTTCAGTGACTTCTTGGCACTCTGGATCAATACTGCTTCTCCTTTCTGTCTTTCAATTCTGACTCTAAATACATGCCAGAGGTGCAAATTTTAACCTTTCACCAAGTTAATAAATAGTGTCTTGCAACTTTTATGCAAGCTAAATCAAATTCCACAGACCAACTTTTGTCACCCAAACAAACTGCATAAAATCCAAAGTTCTATCATGCACAATTATAAACATCCTTTATCTTCAGGACTTCTATAAATATACATTGTTTACTTTATAAATGACATAAAACGATATTTGCCTATTACTGTAATTCTGTTTTGACAATTATTATTGAACTGGAAAAAACACAGGAATAAAAGTACGTCTTATGGGCGCGGCCATTTTAGGCGCAGCCATCTTGGAATTAATGCCACACGTGCATTATGCTAATGAGTTAAAAAAAGTTCTTTAGAATCCATTTTACAGTACAACTTGAATCTATCTTATTTTCCGTTTTATGAGTTCACATTCCAGTTTATATTAATCTAAACACTCACTTCTGTGGCGGGACAAAACTTCGTCGGAAATACTTGAATGGCAACTGACGGGTTAACTGGTAAATGAGTCAAACTGGACTACATTTCTGACTGTGCACTGCGTTGACTGAAGAACATGGCGACAGTGCCGAACTTAACCTATGGTAGCTTATAAGAGCAAAAAATGAGAAAATCTAAACCAAGCAAAAATCATCGCTCGGCGAAACAAACACGGTGTTTGAAGACTAGATAACAACACTTGGTATGGATTACAATGTCATTGAACATCGAAATATATTTACAGTCAAATACTTAAACATTTGTTTCACTGAAAGGTTTATATTCAAAACAAATTAGTAAGTAGCCGTCGCCGGTAATCAAATAAAAAAAGGCCGCAAAATAAATTAACATTGTGACTTTTCACTGTTGATCGAGTGGAGATGCAAACCGTAAGTTGGATTTGACTCTGATACTAAGCATGAAAGCCTAGGTATCTATAAGGTCTTGATGAGAAAGGAGCATTATTTTGCTTTATGTAATAGGTGTTTGTATGTAATCTGCTTTGACTTGATAGCTTACCTGCACATGGAGTCCCAGCATAACCAGCAGAGCACGCACATGTATACATGTTCACTCCATTGGTTAGCCATACACGGAGTGGAAGCACATTCGTCGATATCTGTGCAAATTGAGTTTCAATTATTAAGTCTTGCCAAAGGACATTAGTGCCGCGGAGGGACTTTAACCGCGGACATGTACATGTGCTTCGGGGTTTAATGGAGCTTTGTCTAGTACAGGTACTAGAACCTTATTGAAACAAAACATTTATGTTAATTTCTACGGGGATCAAAATTATGATACATTGGGTTTTAAAGATAATATGCCCTTTTTTGCAGCCAACATCAAATTCTGTAGAACTTTGCAGAATTTTAGGAATATTTTATGAATGTCCTATCTGTGAAATTTAAACGTTAGCAGAGTCCTAATGATAAAATTATGCAAAGAAACCCGTTTACTCGCTAGACTTCACTGTCCACACTATGGAGTGACTGACTGGCTTTTTTTTATACTGCTTTGGTAAACATACATAAAATGAGCTGTAATGGGTACATGAGCATTTGTCTACATCCATAACCCACTTCTTGTAATGGCCACAATTAAACTGATTGAATCTTTGCGCAGCATCAAACGTACGACCATTCGGTACAATGGTCTGAAAATCAGACTATTACTTACTGGCTCTATAGCTCTTAAGTCGATTCGACAACTAGTCGTTGTTTTCCCACTTCAAGACATTTTGAAGCCCCCTTTTTTTTAGGGAAGTTCTAAATTAGTATTTACTTTCAACTGCCGGTGGAATTTCACCTTTTCATTTTTTTTTGACTGCAAACGGGACATAGTACCTTTAATACATGTACTACACAAAGCTCCATTAAATCCCGAAGCACATGTACATGTCATCCAATACGTTACCGACCCGTTACACAGGGTAGCGATTTCTTTTTTTCAATCCTTCATTTTTTTTCTCTC